GGTGGTGACAGGAAGGCTAGTCAATAGTCTTTGGGTAAATATAAAAGGGGTAAAAATAGGGAGCTATTATGGCTGGGGGATTCTATTATACACCAACCAACCAGGAAGAAGAAATGGTTGAGGCATTACTAGAGCAAATAACAAAAATAAAAAACACATGATCTGGTAGTAATGGAAGACTGTAATGACTTAGACATCTATTGTAAAAGTAATATGGAAAAGACAAAATTTACAATAAGTTCTTGGAATGTAAGGGGAACAAGCTTTTCCCCCCAGAAATTGAAGGACGTAACCCAGGGTAATATTTGAAAGTGGAAGGCAAATCTAAAGGTGGAAGGCAAGTTGGGTGAAAGTAATCATAGATTGCATGACACTAAGGAAAGGAAGGAGTGAACAGCAGAATAAAGATAACGGGCTTAAAAAAACTAACTAAAATGATAGCTATGTCTATACAATAGAGTTATTTCAGAATAACTGATGTTATTTCAAAATAACAGAATGTGCATCTACACAACAAGCTGTTATTTCAAAATAATGTCAAGATGGAGGACTTCTTAATCTGACTTCTGTAACCCTCATTTCACAAGGAGTAAGGGAAGTTAAAGGAAGAGTGTTTTTCTTCAACTTTCTGCTATGTAGATAGCGCCAAAAGTCAAATTAGGCTATTTTGACTTCAGCTAAAAAGAAGAATCCTCCAAAAGTAGAAACATGGACAATTTGCTAATGAGGAATACAAACAAACAGCAGAACCATGTATCAACAAAATCAGAAAAGCTAAGGCACAAAATGAGTTATATCTAACAAGGGACATAAAATGCAGTAAGAAGAGGTTCTTTAAATACATAAAGAGGAAGAAAAGAGGAATGAAAGAATAGGTCCTTTACTTAGTTGGGAAGGAGAGCTAATAATTGATTATATCAAAAATAGCTGAGGTTTTTAATGCCTATTTTGCGTCAGTCTTCATGAAAAAGGTTGATCAGACACACAACACAATTAAGAAAAGAACTAGTTAAAGAATATGGAGATAAGTTAGATGTATACAAGTTGGCAGGACACAATGAAATTCATCCTAAGGTACTTAAAGAACTAGCTGAAGCAATCTTGGAACAGTAAGTAATTATCTTTAAGAACTAACAGAGGATGGGTAAGATCCCAGAAGATTGGAGAAGGACAAATATAGTATCAATCTTCAAAAATGGTAGGAAAGATAACACGGGGAATTACTGACCAGTCAGCTTAATTTTGTTCCAGTATCTTTCCAAGTTTTGAATTATTAAGCAATCAGTTTGCAAGCATCATGAGGATAATAGAGCTATAAGCATTGAGATGCATGGATTTGTCATGAACCAATTATGCCAAACTAATCTAATTTCCCTCTTTGATGGGCTTATTGTGCTAGTGTGTGTGTGTGCACGTGGTGGTGGTAGGGAACAGTAAATGTGTTCTCTTGATTTTAGAGATTTTTTTTACATTGTCCCACATGACATTCTCATAAGCAAACTAAGAAAATGTGGCCTTGATTAAGTGATTAAAAGGTGGTACACAATTTACTGAAAGACTGTACTCAAAGAACAGTTATCAATGGTGCACTGTCAATCTGAGAGCATGCATGTAATGTGATCCCACAAGAGTCAGGCCTGGGGATTCAGTACTAGTCAAAATTTCCATTAATGATTTGGATAATGCAGTGTAGAGTATGCTTTTAAAATAAAGAGATGACACCAAGATGGGAGGGTTCTAGAATTAGAGGCCAGCCAGCATTAGAATTCAAAAGACCTTGACAAATTGGAGAAATGACTTGATTTCAACAAGATGAAATTTTTAAAAAGAGATGTTCAAAATACTTCACTTAAGAAGGAAAAATCAAATGCACAACTACAAAATAGGGAATAACTGGCTAGGTTATTGTACTGTTCAAAAGGATCTGGGGTTATAATGACTACAAAATTAATGAGTCAACATTATAATGCAGCTGCAGAAAAGGCTAATACAATTCTGGGGTGTATTAACCAGAATGCCATCTGTAACACATGGAAAGTAATTGTCCCACTCTACTTGGCATTGGTGAGATCTCAGTTAGAATACTTTGTCATATTCTGGGTAACACACTTTAGGAAAGATGTGAACAAATGGACGTACACCCAGAGAAAAACAACAAAATGATTAAATGCACAGAAAACTTGACATACAAGAAGAAGTTAAAAGAAGAGGCATGTTTAGTCTTGACAAAAGAGACTGGGAGGGAGGAGGAGAGACAGACCTGATAACAGTCTTTAGAAATGTTTAGGCTTTTAATGAGATGGTGACCAATTGTTTCCCATCTCCACTGAAGGTAAGACAAGTAGTAATTAAAAGAGATTTAGGTTAAAAACTTTCCAACTATAAGAATAACTTAGCACTGGATTAGGTTTCCAAAGGAGGTTATGGGATCCCTTAACTGGTAGTTTTAAAAAACAGACTGGATGAATGTCAAGGATGGTCTTGGTTTATTTGATCCTGCTAAAGGAGGCTGGACTTGATGACTTCAAAGTCTCTTCCAGCTGTACATTTGTGTGACTATGAAATAAGTGGCAAAACTTGACTTCAACAAAGCCAGGATTTCATGCAAAGTGTTAGTTTGGTTTGTGTCTGGATACCTTAGGATACATCTACACTACATAACTATTTTGGGATACCAGAGATGATAGTCCAAAAGAAAAGTTATATGACAGGATTTGCTTCAGCCAAACTACCCAGTAATTAATATAAATCTTAGAGTCTTTTTGAACAACATCTCTAAGGCCCTTCTTCACCCACATATCTAAAACTCTTGTGCCCAGGCTCTCATCCTCTTGTGTCTCAATTACTGCAGCATCCTTTTCTCTGGTTCTAACAAATGCAATCTTGAGCAACTCATAACCATTCAGAATGCAGTCACACAGATGATTTTCCTGGTTTGTCTCTTTGACCATGTCACCCCTTCTTTGCATTCCTACATTGGATACTTTTCTCTTCTCAACTGCAGCAAAGATAAGCACTTGTCTTCACTTTCCAGCTTCATGGCCTATCCCCCATGACCTGTTGATTGTTATAGAGGTGTTGACGCCTATCTCTGATCTAATTCTGCCAGTCTCTATTATCTTCTTGTTAAATTTTGAAATAAACTCCTTCCTATTTTCTCTCATGATGACCCTCTGTTTATGGAGAGCCTCTCCAAATATTTCATACAACTAATCAATTATCCTCCTTCAATACCCACTTGAAAACTCTCATTTTCCATGAGGCCTATAAAAAAACTTAACAACAGTTAGGTCAACTGGTGCTCTGAAGCCCCTGCCTCATTATTCTGGCCAATACTGTCTCATTGTTTCCTTGTATTCCCACATTTCTCTGTATTCATCTATTGCCTCTTGTTTTATATTTTAAGTTAATTACAGAAGGGACCATGTTTATTCTGTGTTTGTACAGCAGTTAAAACAAGAAGGTCCTTGACCATGATTGTAGTAGGTGCAGCCACAATACAATCAAACATGGCTTGTTTCAGTTCTCATGGATTTAGGGAGTGCATGCAGTTACTCCTCCATTTTACTGTGTAACATAGCTCTCTGTTGGCTACCTCTGATAACAGATATTCCACCCAACCCTCAGAGAATCAGCTGCCTCTTGCATACAGGATTCATTGGTATTCCTATAGAGACCACCCACTAGTCTGTTTCACTGCGTCTAGCCTGGCATGATTTTGCACAAATACTTTTAACGGAAAAGGCTTTTCGTTAAAAGTATTTGTGCAAGAGAGCGTCTATACTGGCATGTGCCTTTGTGCAAAAGATTTGCTTTTGCGCAGAAGTATCTGTGCCAGTGTAGATGCTCTCTTGCGCAAGAAAGCTCCGATGGCCATTTTAGCCATCGGGCTTTCTTGTGCAAGAAATTAACTTGTCTGTTTACACTGGCCCTCTTGCGCAAGAATACTTGTGCAAGAGGGCTTATCCCTGAGCGGGAGCATTAGAGTATTTGCTCAAGAACCACTGATTTTGTACAGTACAAAGTCAGTGTTCTTGTGCAAATACTCGTGGCCAGTCTAGATGCAGCCTTTGTGTTTGTGCTACATTGAGAGCAAGTTGGTTGATTTCAGACAAGTATTAAATTCAGTGCCCTTTCTCCCGACCAGAGACATCACATAGGTATGCTGAGATGTGACATCATATTTAGTTGATCTTGTGATCATACCTACAGCTGAATGTAATACGTAGGCCATCAGATAATGCTCAAATAACCATTTTAACTAAAGTATTTTGGGGGCTGCACTTCTGTAAACATGGATACTCAAGATTCCCTTGCATTCTAAATATAGCCAAGTTCTTAGAGCATACACATGACTACAAAATAAGTTCTGAGAGCCTCTCTTGATATAAATTGGTGTAACATCAGTTAAGTCAGGAGAGCTAAGCATATTTATATTGGTTGACCCATGCTGTTTTACTCCAGAACTGCAGATATTATGCATTGTGGCAAATAGATCTCCAAGAGGAGTCAATAGCTAGTCCAAAATGGCTGACTTGCCACTAACTGATGTTTCCCCCTTTACCTTATTTGAACTAAATTTAGGTGGAATGGAGAAGACTTAGAAACCTCTGCAAAGGTAGAGTCAGTAAGGATATTCTGAAAATATACGTATCCATCAAATATACTTGCGTAAATAAAGTTCTGTGCAGACCTTACCACTTGAAAATTTTTTATGTATTTTGAATATTTTTTGGCAGTATTTGATAGAAAAAATCCTGCTCTGGACTTGTATGCAGTTTAAAAGTACACTGTTGTTTTAGGTGAAGGTAACAGGACTTTGTGGCATCTAGTACGGGTATCAGTGAAGTGAAAGGCATGCCGTACACCTGTTACATTGGCTGTATCAATCTAGATGGCATGTTACAAATGAACAGCAGGTGTGACATGCCTTTCAGTTCCATGACAAGCATGCCACAAAACGCTGTGTCCTTCACTGCTCATTTTTCAAAACCTTATGTTGACAGTAAACATGTCTTGACACAAGGCTGAATACAGAAGTTACCTGATCTTTGCCTTTTTTTGACATATGCATATGGAAAACATTTGCTACAAATCAATCAAGAACCAAGACTTTGGCTTCTCTGTGTGAATCTGTTCTTCCAGCACAAACAGCACTAGGCCATTAAAACGATAAGTTTCATGAATTTAGAAGAGGTAATTCTGTAGTCCTTGCTTGGATTTGGTAAGTAGAACAAATTACCTTGTACTGTTTAAATACTGTATTTTAATGTATGACTCTAGAAACCCTTCTAAAACTAGTTCTGCATGAGAGCCACATTGTAGGCAGAGATAGATTTGTAATATTCCTATTTCTTTTCTGGGACACAAAGATTTTCAGAGAACAATGGGCACTTGCAAATACCTGTCTTCTCAATAATCAAATTTAGCCTAATTGATAACCTATCAAGTGATTTAGTGTGGACTGCAGGCATTTATTTACTTTTACACATTTTCTTGAAATCTTCTCCCTAATGAGTCAGTTGTCATTATGTCAACTTGATATATCTATGTAGAAGACAGGACAAGAAGTTCCTCAGGGCAGAATGATCTACCAGAAAGAACTATTATAAAGCAGATAGGGAGATACAACCACTGCAATACATATTCACAAGGGGCTTGACTCAATCTCCAATAAAATAGAGCCCTGGAACCCAGTGAGGCCAGACTACAAGGTCTGGGGCTGGGTTGGTTGAGCAAACCATACCCTCACAGGGCCAGCTTAGGTCGACTCTCTATCTCCTGCCAGTCAGGTTGGTGCCTCAATAGTTGTGTGCCCTACTTGTGCTAGTCACTGCTACTGTGCTGTGCTTTGTGTAGACTGTAGACTGCTGTAGACTGAGTGTGCCAAGGAGTCACAGCACCTCTCACTCCTCGGCACACCTCCAATTCAACTGTCAGTAACAGATGGCAGAAGAAGAGTATACAGCCATCACTGCCTGAATCACATAGGCAGGAAGAGAAGTACAAATCCCACGGGCAGGACATGGCGGTGCTGACTTAGGGTTGCCAACTTTCTAATCACACAAAACCAAATACCCTTGCACCACCCCTGACTCTCTTTCACTTAATCCCCCTCTCTTTGTCACTCACTCTCTCCTACCTTCACTCACTGGATTTGAGAATGGGGGGAGGTGTGGGCTTCAGCTGGGGGTGCAGGCTCTGGGATGGGGCTTGGGCAGAGTGATTTGGGGCACACAAGGAGGCTCAGGGCTCGATTGTGGGTGGTGGCTTGCACCAGAAATGAGGGGGTCAAGGTGAGGGAGACGGCTTCATGCTGGGGAAGGAAGTTGAGGATCAGGGGGGCAGGTGAGAGCTCTGGCTGAAGATGCAGGCTCTGGAGGGGGCCAGGGATAAGAGGCTTGGGTGCAGGGATAAGGGGATTCTGGTCTGGGACAAGGGAGTTAAGGGGTGCAGGTTCTGGGAGGGAATTTGAATATGGGTTCTAGGAGGCAGTTCAAGTGTGGGAAGGGACACTGATCTGGTGCAGGGTGTTGGTGTGTGGGAAGGAACTGGGTGTGAGGCATCCTGTTAGCTCTTACTGCAGCTCCCAAGAAGTGGCCACCAAGTTCCCTGAGGGCCCTAAATGCAGGGAGGCACCATCTATGCACTCTGCTGCCCTCATGCCCACAAACGCTGTCCCCACAAATCCCACTGGTGATGATTCCTGGCCAAGCAGAGATGTGCAGCTGTCATTTGGGGTAGGGGCAGCTGCAGGGGTGACAATGATGGTAAGTTGAGTGCATATATGGTGTCTCCCTGCACCTAGGAACCACAGGGATCTGGAAGCAACTTCCAGGAGCCATGGAGAGCCAAGGCAGGTAGGGAGCCTCTCTTAGCCCCGGACACCTGCTATGCTCCCAACAGGATTTTTTATGGCCCGGTTAGCAGTGCCAAACAGAGCAGCCAGAGTCCCTTTTTGACTGGATCAAAAAACAGACACCTGGCAATGGTGGCATCCCTATGCTGACTCACTTGTGGGGGGAAGGACTGGGTTTGGATCAGCTTGGGAAATAAAGAAGAATTAAATCAGGCACAATATTTGTTTCTTGCACATTTTGTTCAATAGTCCACAGACAAAATAGTCCCAAATTCACTGTCAGACTTTTGACTTCAAATACTCAGATGGCATGTTGGCAATAGAATTCCTTACACCTGCAAATCTCATGCACAGAATCTGTTCTGTTAAGCATTCATCAATTCTTCCAATTTGCTCAGTTTTCTAATAATTTGTTTTATGTCAGTGAATGGAAATAGGCTGCCTCTACAAGGAAAGAGTTTCAGAGGAAACTTTGATTAAAGGGATTAAAACATATTAACTACTCTACAATATGCAATTTTTTCTTTTGCTAAATTATAAAGAGAAAAGAAATAAATGGAGTTTTCTTTGAAATTTAAACTATTGAAATTGATTATTTCAAGTGAGAAAACCTGAATTCATTTATCTGAATTTAAGTTTGACTAGTTATCAAGTAATGACATTTCTTAAAGTAAAAACTATACATAGCATCTGAGTAATTGGGTACAAGATCATTTACTAATTAATACTAATCAATCAACTCTAATAAAAAATGTAAAAAAGTCTTTTTTTCTCTTTACCAAAATATATTTTAAAATTGATTATTTAATTTTGAGAGTACTGTTTTTGTTTCAATGTCAAATTTACCTGAAAATTATATTTACTGTGTTCTTTTCTGAGTTGGCAGAATTAAGTTTTCATGTATCCTGTGATGCTGGAAAGCCATAGTTTTATGGTTATAAATATAAATGCCATGCATAGTAACATTTGAGAATTGAGAAACTCCATAGTAAAGTCGCCTTGAACTATGAGGAAATACGAAACATTCAGGCTGACAATTACAGCATAACTTATTTCATATTTGTATTTAAGAGATGAATATACACAAAACTACATTTCATAATCACCAAAACAATCTTGCCTATGCATATCAGTTAAAGCTAGTGTGAAAGATGTTAGTTTTGCATCGGTCACAACACAATTATGACACTAAAGTAATGGAGTACCATTTTAACACTGCTGATTTGACTAGCAAAGTTAAAGTATTTTTAGCAAAGAGTATTCATAACTTGTTTAGAATTCATTTTTAAAGTACGTTGGAGAAACATGCCATATGCTGGTTTAAATATGGTTTTTTAAAAGTGTTACATACACATAAGTGTACATTAGTAAAATTAATAATATTCTTTGTTAAATTATGGTACCTAAGTCAGAATACACTCAACTACCTACCTTTTTTCATACACTCACATCCACGGTATTTGGATAGCTACTTTTCAAAACACAATAAGCTACCATTAGTCTTTAGTGATTAGTCAAACAGATGGTCTTGTTTTTCTAGTGTGCTAGATATTGAGCTTTACCAGCCTTAATTTGAAATTTCATTTTTCTTACCTGTATAAACTTTATGGATACATGAACTACATTTCCTTACAGGAAAGTCATCTGTCAACTTTTCCTAGCCTAGTGAAGAAAAAACTTCACTATAGTATTATTAGGGCATTACATTCCTGCCACAGTAATGCTCTGAATTTGTACTGTCTACCTTTTTGACACAAGAGTTCTATTTATGTCAGCCCAGCTGAACTATGCAAACAAAGGGACAAAACAACCTTGTCCTATCTTAAATGCATAGACCAAGAACATCAGTATACCATAACTATCATAGGTCCTTCTGATTTTTGATCCTGTTGAAGCAATGAAATGTGAAAAACAAGACATGTGTGCAATGAAAACTAATCCTTTAAATAAAATAACACAACAAAATTTTGGCTAGAATGTGGCTTTATTATCTCTGCAGCCTCAACAATTACATCATATAGAGTTCAGTATCATACGGTACAGAAAGTCAAATGAGATTACAGAGGATCACTGTCCAGTTCTTTGTCTTTTTTATTTAATTTATCAAAGACATATGAACTGTGCCTTCTAGTATGTTGCAAACTGAATTTGAAACAAGCAAGCATTTCATAGTTTTTACAAGATGAAATCAGGTCATGGGATCTTCAAACTGCCCTTGGAACTAACACACTAACACGGCTAACTGCATCATGTTGTGTCTGGCTGTGTACTTTCCTATATCTATCTGTTGGATATGAAAATGACACAGCATTAGATATGTGTATGTACGCACCCTATCTACTATGACCTTTACCCAAAGTACACAATTTACTGAAAAGAAAGACACTGTCTATATTCACAAAAAAAAAAGTTCTGTTTCTACATAGCCCAGACAAATAAATGGCAAGGAATTATAACCAGGAAACAAAAGAAATTACATTTAAACTAATGGAAATTACTTTTCGCTCTCTTTAAATATTTTTTAGGCCACAAATACAATTAGATACAATTAAGTAACAGAGATAAGAGGTCACGTATGAGCAAATGAAGAGTTAAACAAAAAATGTATGCCAAATATAACAATACAAAATTCACAAGATAAAATAAAGTGACACCTATCTTACACAAAATAACACTATATTCCAAACAAATACTGTGGCCCTAATGCAAAAGGAGTACTGACATGAGTAAGACATTGGGTCCTAGATCAACTGCTATTGAAATCAGTGAGAGCCCTTACTTACTAGGAGAACTATACTAAATAGTGCATAGCACTGAGCTGAGAAACAATCCCTGAAAGACCACAAAATAAATACTTCTTTTAATTTATAGTTCTGCAGTAACAGCTATGTTTTGAGGTCTACTGGCTAGGCAGATATTCATTCATTTGCTATGTATGATATAGATCTTATCAAGTGCTTGAGTTTTAAATTAGAATGTGATGTGATATTAAGTCAAATGCTATATGGGCTTGATTCATAGGCCACTGAAATAAACTGAAAGATTACCATTGCTTTCAGTGGTCTCTGGATCAAAACCTATACAAGAGGAAAAATCTGTAGTCTAATAGTCAGAGCAGGAAGGATGTGTAAAGAATTCTGGGCTCTATGTCTAGTTCTGCCACCAATTAGCTGTAGCTCTAGGGAAGTCTCGCAGGGTACGTCTACACTACAGCGCTAGTTCGAACTAACTTAGTTCGAATTAGTTAATTCGAACTAAGCTAGTTCGAACTAACGCATCTAGAACTAAAAACTAGTTCGAACTAGCGTTTTGCTAGTTCGAACTAGTAAGTCCACATTGAGTGGACTCTGAACAGGGCTTAAGGA